AAGCGGTTTTGTCCACCTGTTCTGTATCGCCTCGTCTCTGTGCAGTTGCCCATTTGATAACAAAGTTGTAAAGTCTACTCGGGCTATTCCCAACGTTTCATCATGACGAAAGTTAACAGAAATGATGAAATTGGTTACCTACATCTGTCATCGTCAACCCCTGATCAGCCAAAAGTGTATGCGAGCAGAGTGATCTAAATTGATTTAAATAGTCCCGAATCATTTTCACGGAACGGAGTAACGAAGAGAGTATCACGCTGTTTATGGATCAAGGAATATTTCGATCGTCGTCCTAGGGTCTTCTGGACTATATTGATCGATCCATCTGTCCAGACAACCTGATCACTGCCAGGTTAGCTTCGAGATGGTCTACTTTTCGCATCTTTCAGTGGAAACTCTGACTGATTGATTGCATCAGCCGGTCTCTACCACTACATGTAGTGTCTTATTTCTGAAACGTTCTCCAGATATCCGAAGTGGTTTTTTTTTTGTTATCGTCCAGTTTGAGTTTTAGAAGAGGATGGTGAACCCAAAAATAGTTGCTTAAACCAGACAGTGTGCAGTACGCTATTGCCCTATTTGACCTGTGCTTTAAGTACTCCATAAACTAAACGGGATCTTATACATGCTCTATCGATTTTTTCTCTAAGGAGCGACGGGGTGGTTCAAAACTGCGATATGCGTTCCCGGCACTAATGTGACCAGATTTGCGTTCTTTCTTTGCCCTATTTATTTGCATGGCGTCTCGGTTCGTTGGCGATTGTGTTTATGAATCCATTTGTTCATGTTGATCTGCTTATGATTGCGCAGCGAAAATAGGTCCTTTGAAATTCAGTTTGTGATTACTTCAAACTGTCCTTTGCAGAATGAAGTGTTTTGTCAAAACAGTGAATCGGATTTGGTATCTTGAATTACCGCGTTCAGCATCGATCCCGTTGTCACATCTCTGTATGCGATGCGTATGCAATTTTCTCTCTCTCTATTGAAGCGCTGGTTTTGTCAATTCGCTTTATTTTTTCTGTAATTTTTCCGGTTCAAATCAGGTCAAGAAGGCACCTTATTCATCTCTGGTGAACGGTCAAAGGTTCAGTGGGAAAGGAATAGATTCATGGTACTACATCAACACGATGACACAGTACCGCATGAAGTCGAACAAAATGATGTTACCACGTGAAGGGTCTTTTGCAGTTCGTCGAGAGAAATAAATTTCTTTCTTTGAAATAGTATACGTGGAAAATTGTCTAACTGGTAAAAAGCTATGTTACGAGTGCACAAAGTCCCTAATTATTGTATGGATGCAGAGGTAATTGTGGCGCGAGCGAATGAATGCCCCACGTAGGCGACGTGATGTGGCTAACAGAATTGACTCACCTACATTCACAGTCGGCAGGATAGAATGTATACACTGAAATGTGTGTTGTACATTATTAGACCATTTTTGGTGAACGAAAGTAAAAAGTCCAAGATATTTTATATACTGTAAACTTTCGACTGCTGAGTTGCACGACACATTTAGAGGGATTTTTGGTGAAAGCTGTACATCGTCATGTCATTCGGTGCCAGATGTGGGCTGCAGCATCAATCACGGGATTGACTTTTTTGTTGTACACACCGTAGTGAATAGAACGACAAAGGGGAGTGAATTCTCCATAGACCTATTGTTCTCCCATAATGACCGGCAACCCAAATCCGATAACTTATAGTGGTGAAGCACAAGGACAGATGTGATCTGCACTTGAAAGCTGATTGGATAAGTGGTATATTTTTCAGTGGGAACAGAAAAATGGGAATAAGTTTAAGCGCTACCATATTCCTCGATTTAGATCATTGATGGAAGACCTTACGCCATAAAGGCATGACATCTGGGGTCTATCGATGATGTGACCACGACCTATGAAACGCATTGGATACGTTGTAGTAGCAATGGCAGGTAAATATTTTCGATCTGTTCAACCTAAAGTCCTTTTAATTTCGTTTAGTTCGAAAGTGGAGAAAACAACTGGTTTGCATTAAATTTGATGGTTCTATCGGTTAGCATACCCGCCAGTTTAAGCTAGCAACTTATTTTAGTTCAACTCCAAATGGTTCAATTTCTTATGACCACACTGGTCATCGCTGTTTTTCTCTGTTCTTATCAGGTCGTGAAAAGCGGCTGACTGCCCAACGGAAAGCTCGTGATACTCTGGATTCCATAGCACCCGATGGGACCCTGACAGGAAGCGAACTAACCGATGCTGAACTATCGGATTTGCCAGCAAATGTGACGGCCAAACTACATCAGATTGACAGTGAAATAGAAACGCTGAAGCGGTTAGGCGAAAGTTCCGGGATCACAGTGGTACGTGAGTATTTTGGTTTTATCCTAGTTCAGTTTTCGTAAGCCCGGTTGACAAAATAGTATAGTCGCTTAATACGTAAAATGGAACACTAAATGTGCGACAATACTAAGAGAATATGCATACCAATGCATGTAAATATTCTAGTCTGGACACCTACGATCTCTTCACCATTTACATAACTTTTCATGTGTAGTTGGATTGAATGCCCGGTAACAGACTCTGAGTCTGTCTGTCATCCATCTCCTGTGTACGGTTTCCTATGGCTTGATCCGATATAGATATCTTATCTCGTATACGATCACCTTAGTTGACTTAGGCTGGCTGGATTGGATAATTTTTTATCCAACTGTCGATCCCTTTCACACCTGATTGCTGAGGTCTCCCTCAGTCCCTCGTTTTAAATGTCAGTTGTGCGTCTCAGATGTGACATTCTGATATTAGTATTTTGGCGTTTTGACCGAGAAAGGCGCCTTCAACAGTTGGTAAATACTGACTTTCAAAACCGGTACTATTCCATAAACCGATTGCAAAACTTCGAAGTCCAGAAAGTAGTTTATTGTTGCATACTAGTCCTATTCAAGCTCTACATGCCTCCGTGTCTGAATTATAGCAAACTACGGCACGTGCCATAATTTGTTGCATAACCACCTCAGTTCCCCAAACTGTTTTCGATGCTACTACCTAACGCAAATTTATACGTTCTGTTTCGTTCATGCGGTTACATTGGAGATCTATTGACCGATTGATTGATCGATTCTCTCTGTCAAGGCACTGCGCCGTTCAAATAATTATCATGATTGTTCATATCCTCATTAGTTCATGATTATCCCAATGGTTTTACCGAACACTTTTTCGTGTTCAGATTTAATCATATCTAATATTTTTTATTGTGGTTTTAAGACGAAAATTTCTTTGATGTTGTTGAGCTGCCGATCTCAGGCTGTGAAATAGGTTTTGCACACTTTTTCCCACCCCGTCTCCTTTATTCGTCCACATTGGCACCTGGGCGTTTAATCACTTTCCACACATGTAGTTTACCCACGCACTCTCTGTTCCATTTTCGTCCTGCTCTCGGTTTTTCACTCCAATCCCGTTTGTTTATTCTCTAACTACCCGAACCGGATAGTGAATCGACAGAAAAACCAAGAGCATCTGATGACAGTGCTTCTCGGTCATGGACGGAAATATTCTGTGCGTTCCATTCCACTGCACTCAGTTTCATTTTTCAGTTTTTACAACCATTAACCATGCACTTTCGTGCGCTGGTTTTGGTTGCTATGTTTTGGTGCCCCATTTGGATCAAACAGCACAATGAAGATTGGAATGTTGAAAGCGATTTCAAGCGGAGCATGGAGAATTCATATTGAATAGTGATAGATGGATAATGAATGGATGCACGAGCGCCACTGTTTACGACACCCGGCCATATCACTGAGTGTCTCTAACCATCAGCGACCATCATCTGGAGGTCCTCAGCCAGAGAGCCTAACGGGGTCTATGTGACCTGGTCTCCTGGTTAGTGTTTTCATAGCCTCATGACAGGTTGTCGTTTGATCACCCTTGAACTTTTTCCAACCGCTATCTGCCTCGGCAAACGTCGCTCGCCCAGTCAAACTAATTGGTGACATGCGTGAAACATGCCTCAACCAGCGTCATCTATGGTGGTCGATCACTTGCTCCAGTGGACGACCGCGACTACCTAAAACTCTACGCCTAACCTCAGCATTGCTCGTCCGGTTACCCCACCAGACTCGTGCAATGTGTCGTAGGCAGCGGTGTTCGAACAACGACAATCTGCGTTTATCCTGTTCCCTTAGTGGTCAGGTCTCTGCACCGTAGAGCAGTACTGGCCGAATAGCTGTGGCATATACTCGACCCTTCACAGACAGCTGGATGTCGCGACGGCTCCACAAATGTCTCAAGTATACGCGCCTACACTTCATCTGTGATGCATCCACCAGGTGAGATATAGCTGCCCAGATAGCAACATTTGTCTACTTCCCCAGTTAGGATGAGACTGGGTGCTGGACTAACATTACTCACATTGTTCATTCAAACCACTGTTATTTAACTCTCTCCATAGTGTGTTTTAAACCGGGATAGGCATATTCTTGTTTCAAGGATGACGAGATTACACAGTGATTTTTTCGCACACATCGCATTGCACGAGTCTGGTGGGGCATCCGGACGAGCAATGCTGAGGTAAGGCGTAGAGTTTTAGGTAGTCGCAGTCGTGCATTGGTGGATACGCTTGGATATGTGCTACTCATGTCACCAGATAGGTTGCCACAGCAAGCGATGTTTGCCGAGGCAGGTAGCGGCTGGAAAAAGATCAAGGTCAGTCAAACTAAGACCTATCATGAGGATACGAAAACCCTAACCCGGAGACTGGGTGACATAGGTCCCGTTACGCTCCCTGGTTGGGGACCCTGAGATCATGGTCACCGAGGGTTGGAGACACTGAGCGATATGGCTGGGTATCGCAAACAATGGCGCTCATGCACCCACTCATTGTTCTTGTAATATCAGCCTATGTAAGTTCGCTATCTTCTGTTTGTATTGGCTCTCAACATTCCAATCTTCATTCTGCTGTTTTATCCAAATTGGTAACCAAAACCGACGCACGAAAATGCATGGTAATGGTTGTAAGAACTGAACTGAAATGAACACATCCGAATATCCTTCGCTTTAGTTTTCCTCCCGTTACCTTAGAGACGGTGACGTGTCCCGAAAGGAAAAGGAGTCAGCTGTGTACGGTTCACGAAGCCAACATTGTATAGTTGCGTCTCGTTGCGAGCGCGGTTAGAGCGAGTTGTGCCTGAATTCTCCTCTTGAAGTGGTGTTATCAATTTTTCTGTGGGGGCAGTCAGCTAACATGCTAATTGGTGGATACCAATATGCCTTCGCAAGTTGGATGGGTAATTGGAATGTGAAAAAATCAGTGCAATCGGTGTGGTCTCGTGGCTCGGCTNGGCTGGTAGAGCGTGTGCCTACAAATCGTATGCGGCGTCCATGCGTGGGTTCGAATCCCACCGAGGCTACTGAACTTTTAACAATCACCATACAAAACTTTAAATCTGCGAAAAAACCATTTGCACAATTTTTCTATCAATAGTTTAGTGATCATAGCATAGCTTGTCGATCGTAAATATTTGAGCAAATAAACGTCTGATCCATTTTTCGACTGCCAGTAAGAAATATGTCTCATATAACCCTATCGCAATAGATTCGGACACACTTCTCCGCAAATTCATTCGCAAACCTGCCCAGTCACATGTATATGAAAGAAAATTTTTTTAGGGTCAAACAGAATGAGCAATGGTTCATGTATTGGGCGCTGCGCTGCCATTTTCCATAGCTTTGTGTCATCGTGTAGCACAACACATCTGCATGTGTTATCCCTTGCAGAGAGCAAGGCATATCTGGCCTAAGGTTAATTTGAAAGACGACCTGGAAACAGCCGGAACAGTCTTACTTGAAAATGACCATCCTGAGAACGTTTTAGATAGCAATTGAATTGAATAAAGTTAGCCAATGAAGAGGATTGATTCAAATGAAGTATACAACGATCACGTCACATAGTTACGTAATCTCATATCCTTACACACCTATGAGGAGTGTTTTGATGCTTTACAGGCGACGTCTACCTTCTTGTTTAATCAGACTTCATCTTATTTTGTATGAGTGTGATTGGACAGGCTTGGGAATGAATGCATCGAAAACATGTTCTCTTACTTCCTGTTCCGATTCAATCAATGGGCGTATTCCGTGATCATTCAAGGGTACCATCAGCGATGAGCATCGGTGACAGCAAACAATCATTCCCGGTTTTGGAGGGGGGGTATGCGTACGAGAGAGTTCACGAACATTAGTTACAGACTGTCATAATTACTAGTGCTACTGAATGCCTTTTAAATAACCCGTTCATATACGTTATAAATACACTCAAAGTCGGCCAATAATTGAGCTAATCTTGTTCCAACAGCACACTTCACATCAATATATCATGGTATTTTTTAGATGCGCTCTCGGAGATGTTTATTGCCGAACATCCGTGTCATCTGTCGGTCCCATCGGAACTAGTACATGATTAATAGCCCCCCACCCCGGGAGATCTGTCAACTGAAGAGCCCTTCCCCCCACTCCTCGTTGTCTGATTGCTGTCCCGTTCTACAGATTATCTAAAGCGCTGACATGTCGAATGCGGTTCTATCGCTGTTCGACTGGTAGTGAGCGCCGCAGGTGCGTTGAACACGTCAAATCTGTTTAACGCGTTCATGACTGCTTTTCATTGTCTAGTCTTCAAACGCTACATGTTAATGGCTAATGATTCTATGGTTTTCAGTTGCGTTTCCGTTAGTATAGTTATGAGTCTAGTTGTCAAATGGGTATACTGGTTCGTGTGCCGACTATGCGCTCATTCAACCAGTTACGGAAACTGGCAAATGCACTGTTACAGAGGGATACGAAAAAAAACATGATTAATTAACGGTTATATCATTTTTCGTAAACAGAATCCGCTCTTATCAGATGAGATATTTCATCTCGATAAAATTTCCCCGGATCTGCGTGTGAGGCACTAACATAACCAGAAAGATAGTCAAAATTGAATATAGATCTTTCCAAAATCGTCGATGATTTACCGAACAAAATTATTTATTTAGAGTGTATTTGTAGTGAACACTATTAAAAATCATGCTGTGTGTTCGCTTGCAGAAGCGGACGTGCACAATTCTATCCCAGCTTTACTGTTGATGTTCATGAACAGATACCCGAAACACTGAGTTCTCCACTCCTATTGCATCCGCTTGGAAAATCTGGGTGACCTCACGCGTTTGCTGGATTGTTCGCAGTTTGATTGGTCTTTTGGATTTACGGAATATTTTTTTCTTGTCCACTCCAATCGGATCGAGGCGGGACATCAATTTTAACCGAACAATAAGGTTCTCCGTCTTTGCACAAACTGATTTATGTTTCATCCTTTCGCTATCGTTTGGATGTGTCGTGAATAAAGTTGTTTTTTGTCTGTCTAGCTCGCATCTGATGTTTTCATCCTATTTCACGTTTCAATGAATTAAACATAACGCAAACACTTTTGATAACGAAATGGTCAACATGCATGGATCGAATGCAAACATTTGCACCGATCACTCGACGGTATCGCGCGTTTATATTTTGCATCGGGTTTTGTTCTTTCAGATAAACTCTTTGATTCTTAATGACGAAATCGCATTTCCTTTGTTTTATTTATCTTAACACAACAGTCAGGCGTGAATGATTCGAAGACTTCACTCATTTACGTTTCCACTTTTTCGTATGCGAAACCTCTGCCAACCAGCTTGGCTTTATATGTTCTTTCTAATCACAAACCCATAGAATGTTGTTTGTTTTTTTGTCGATCTGCTTGACTCGTTTTCCGTTTCTTCCTCAGTACTGTCTGGTCACAGAGCGAAAAGTTCCATCTTTCTGAAATCTTATTTTTTATACTGTTCCGGTTTTGTAATTTATCATGAATAATGTGACAGAAACGTGATTCAGTGTTCCCCTAGTGATAGTAATACGTTTGTTGCAATAGTTCTATGAGCTCAGAGACTGTTTTGTGCTTACCTTTCGAAATCTCGTGACCCTTACCACCCATTCCATGTTCCGATAGATTTCACCACTGTGATGAATTAATACCCTTCTGGTCTCTCTGAATCCTCATCCGCTCTTAACGTGAACCCTAACCCTGTCAGAGTCTGCAGTATAAACATTTGATCTCTGTCGACGAACGACATTTGCACACGTATCGACATAATTGTGAATCTGTGAATGGAGCCTGCTCGTCATGTTGTGTTTTTACTGTAAATTGTCGTTTTAGTGTATGCCGAAGAATGTTATTTCTTATCGTAGTAGTCAAATGCCAATGAAAGTATTTGGATAAGCTACTTGAGAAAGACACTAATTTTTTTGCACACTGTTAGTGATAAAACCTTTCGCTTGTTCACACCCATCCTACCATACCCGGTTTTAGTAAAAACAAGTTCCGGTTATTGACTGCGCAGTATTTCTCATAGTGGGGAGGTCGTCCGGCTGAAATTCATTATTCCGATCAAATATCAAACGCGATCGTCTAAACCGAACACACACACAGTCCTGGAACTCGATTTGCACCATGCTTCTGGTTAGGTTATCTTGAGTTACTTTCTTTCCAACTCAAATGGTGTGCTATTCTACAGTACACACACACGCGCGCGTCTGGTTCGCTTACCGGGTGTTACGTTTCCCAACTAGTCGGGACTCTTTTATCTTTCTCCACGCGACCGCTCTCACTCGGTCTCTATGTCTAATAGTCGATTATAAATGTATGAGTCTGTCGGCTGAGAACTGCTTTAATATCGCATCGATAATAAGCCGCCCAGAGCTCAACTACAAACCGAGTTATGGTTCGCGTGTGAGTCCGCGGTAAAGCGATGATGATGATCAGTATGTGTGTCATCGCTTCCGAACAAGCAGTTGTGCTAATGATGATGATGATGATAATAATAATTGTTGCTCGAGCTTGACAAAACAAGTAGTTTGTGTGTGTGTGCAGATTATTCGGTACTATTCTGCTCATGCTCATCAGGCTATCTCGTTTGGTTTCAGCAAGCCGTTAACCATTTAACAAATATAATGCTTCCAACTCGGTCCGTAGTGGATATTAGGAATGCCAGTATGTCGCGAAGTATTTCTATCCGGAAACACGCTTCTATTTGCGTCCAGTTGGTAGACTTGTTCACACGTGTGTGTGTGGCTAGCTCTTTTCATTTCAATAATTTCTCAAACATCGTGGAAAGATTGCCAGTGAGTCATTGTGCGTAGATGCTCTCTACTTTCGTTGAGGTTCATAGAGCGAATTGGAAAAGAAATTAGGCTAATTCGTTCAAGAGAATGTTACGAATCCGATTTGTGTGCCTAACACTTTCACTGACAAGTCAGTATGGTATCAGTCTTTGCACCCATATAGACTATAAACCAAATACAGGTGTTGACCAAACTCGTGCAACATCACCCTCATTTCGGAAATCCATTTCAGCTTGCAATATCATAGTTATATATAGATGGCTATGAGTAAACTGCTCTTATTCACGACTTTATCTCCAACATCCTTGTTCTTAGTTCTCTTCTATCACCGTTTGAATTAGCTTGACCTTGAGTGTTGCGATAAAATTTGTGGTAGTTCAAAAGTTACTGCTCTGATTTGCAAAATATTTTAGGCAAAGCAACATGGGAGTTCGTTCTTTTTAATAGATGATTCTATTTTATAGATGTTTCTATTTCGTTGAGCAGACGTATTCTAAATTTTTAATCTCTTTTCATTCAGTGCACGGTAAATAAGCAGATCATTGAAAATATTCTAGCTTAAATAAATTGAAAAATTATTTGGCTACAAATTACTCACGCATTATCTACAATACTGAAAGAACTGGAAACAGTCCAAGAAACACAGAAATTGATTTTCGAACGTTGACCTTGAGGTGTGCGGCTCGTTGAATAAACGTCCTGTCTTGTGGAAGCGCTTCGATGTGAACATAAGTCCAATTTATTGCATGCTCAACAAAATTTCTCCATCAAGACAAACTACGAGGGAGAAAACCGGCCATACCAAAGTAAGATGACGGTTGTATTTGATCGCAGCAGAAACAAAACCAATCTCGAGGATAGTTCGGGCTGATTAGTCATCTTTTCCTCACGCTTTCGTTTGGAAAATGATGGCTCAATTTAAATTGCGGCTGGGGCCACGTGATATAAAGCCGTTATTGAACGCCCAATAAAGCATAGTGCGTATTGATTTTACCAAGAAATTCAAATCGCGTCGCCTGTCCATTTGGCAGTGGGTTTATCTCACTGATGGCCAACGAGTAATTCAGCATATTGTAAAAGCTGATCTACTGAACTAGTTTTCTAATAAAATTCTTTTTACCTGTCAAAAGAATGAAATATCTACACCGCCTATCGAGTTGGAAGGGAAGTGATTATTGAGCGCATTGTTATTTGTCTCCTGCATACGCCAATATGGACATAGCAAAATTTCTTGCATTGATAAGGGAGGTTTTTGATAACTGTCACTCCAAAAATGCATTTGCGGAAGTTATAGTTTTCACATATGAAAGTTGGTATATCAGCTCGCTTGAGCTTGATGGTAGAAAATGGTTTAACCTAAGTAAATATTATTTTTCACAAAAGTGCAGTTTCTAGAGGGGTCACGTTCAATGCCAAATTTGTTCTATTAACGCGCAGCAGCTGGTGTTTTAATTTAATCGAAAACTACTAACTCTATCAGGAACAGGGATAATTTAGCTACCTTACCATTGATCACCAGTGGTAAGGGTGTGCTGTGTATTAGAGGAAACTTGCAAATTCTGTTTGGCAGTCAAATTGGTGAATGCCATGCTGAAGCGACTGCCTCCAGTGCTCAAAAATGAAGAATAGTAAGTGGAACATGGACAAGATGAGAGTACAATGCCTGTATAAAGTCTATGAGTCATTTTAATAAATAAATAACAATTACTTTTTCTACTCTGACTTCGTTATCTTACAAATGATGCACCAGCAGCCGTCATCAAAATCGCGGAATTGAACATTTTAATGGCATGTGGCTAATAAGAGCAGTGATATAAGTGGGCATTGTATCAGATATGTTGCGTCTGATGTGGAGCAATATCACAATGAATCCCGTGAATGGGGCTGGAAAAACGAAGCATTGAGAGGAACAAATGTGATGAAAATCAGGATGTTGCACGAGTTTGGTCAGTACCTGTACAAGAATATCAAGTGAATCAATGCCTTTAAGTTCAGTTGTATAATCTACTTTATTTCTGCGGTAATGATACTTGTGCATTCGGTAGATGAAAAACAGTTGGGCACACTACCCTCTCCGCCGGCAGATACCAATACTGCTATGGTAAGGGAAGTGCGTTTTACGATTTGCCAGTGCTGATTAGATCGGACTGAAAGTTTCGTTTCCCCAAGCGATTCACTCTCCGTCCTCCCTGTCAGGAAGCCACCGAGACGGGAGGGAGCTTTGCGATCGCAATCTGTCACAGTCGGTTTTGTGATTATTTTTCCAAGATGAGGTCAGTTAGACTACCTCGACCGTAGTGAAGACCACGTATGCGTAGAAAAGCCCTGGCACCGCCCAGCCGTCTGTCTCAGCCCAAAACGAAGTGAATTAAAATCATGGAACACGAAAATCCCTTTGACCTTTTTGTGTTGATGATATCAGCGACAGGTTAGTCTCGGTAACGATTCACGTTACATTGGCTGATCTGTGTGTGTGTGTGTGTGTTGGTCAAAGTTGATGTGATTTCGTACAGGCCTGTTTGCTACGCTCTGTGTCAGTATTTCTTCGCGAAAACTGTTTTCTACACTGTCCATGGGACTATTTTACGATTTCTACTATTCGCTATAGTTCGTTTGTCAGTGACGTTTTTCAGCTCGAAAGTACAAACACTCCCGCCATCTTTTTCTCTGCCTGGTTGTGAGCGATATTAACTCGAAGTTCAAGGTCTTTTTGCTGCCCCTAACTTGATCCGATCTATCTTGTGCGACGTGTGCTCCCCCGGCTGTTCGTTCGCGGCTGCCGTTCTCGCGCCGCGGAATTTCCGTATCCTTGTTCGCTTGCATTTGCACCCATATGCTTATCTGTAAAAGTTCATTTGGGGCTTTATGCGAAATCTCGGTCGATAAGTAACTCCATAGAATGCACTTCCATTCGTACTAACCCAGTTGCACATATGCAGTTATATTTATCAGCTCTGATTTCTTTTTCTCGGCAGCAAAAAAAACGGACTCTCACTCATAAATATCTACCGTGATTCACTAGTTTATCTGTCTCACTCCCCTTTTTGTCAATCTATTTCTCTTTATCGGCTTATCAAATCAGGCGCTAATCCAAGAGTTGCAAGCAAGTAAATTGATCCACGCTCGCGGTCCGGACCTGGATCCCGTTTCGGCTTCACGTTCGCCTAGTGCCAATACCGAACCGGGCTACAAAACACGATATGAACGTCACGTGTTTGCTTGTAAGTTTGTGACCCTTTAAAGGACCCTTCACTGTTTCCCCTTTGTGGACTATCTTCCGGGTTGTTTAGCCTTTCAGGAATGCACTGCTCACTATGTAGAGATGCATTTTGCAGTTTGCGATCTAACAGGTAAACTGCGATGATCTCTTTTGGCTTGGTTACATTCTATGAACATATCTGGGAATTAGGTCACAAGCTGTGATCCATCCGGTGATTGATTGCAGAGTTTTGACTGAGCCAAGTAGACTTCTCCTGTTGACACACTCGTCGAATCCATCCATGGCATGATACCGTAAATAGCCGCTTATTACCAACTGGGGTTTTTGACTCATGTGATCAGGTGAAACGGTGCTTGTGAGAGACAGAGTATTGACAAATCGCGTCCCGTGATTACTCATAGAAGTCACACAATACAAACCAGGTTTACCCTGATCTAATTGGCAATTAGTGTCATTTGTCATCACAACACTCGATTTTCTCAGAGGAAAGAGGTAAGGTTCTGATACACGCTTGTCCAGACACGTTCGCACGTGCTTCCAGGCGTCCATGCTTTTAACCTCATACATGTGCATACACACCCACATGTACATCTTCCTATGCAGCCGATATATAAGCAGGCTTGGAGGGATGTAGTGCTTTTGTGCATTCGTATACCCGTTCTTCCAAGTGGCCTGCACAGTAATTGGCATCGATCCATACATGCGCATACACACTGCATAATCGCCTATGTTTTTTTCGTTGTCCTTGAAACCGTGCGCTCATCTGTCCTCGAGCACATGCTCGTACCAATTTATGGCTATTTACCAGTGATAATGATGCACAGTGAAGCAGTTCTTCTCGCTCTCTCCTTCTCGATTAATGGGGGTCTTTAATCTGCTCCAACTTTGATTCGACGTTACTTCCGTGTTTCCGTCTATCTGTCAGTCCTAATCCGATTGTGTCTGTGTCCATAATGGTGTTGGTGGTTCTTTTGTTCATTTGCTGCCTTCATTTGTGTGTGTGCGTAGACCGGAACTAGGAGGAGGATGATCGTTCTCGCAATGTGGCGGATTTCAATAGTTTACTGACAATGTTTACCGTTGTGAAACTGACACCTAGACCCTTGTTGTCCGCGATGCTTTACTCGCGGTCTCATCATCTTTTTTCAAGTGAACTTTCCGAGAGCATCAAACAGTTGCATTTTATCCTAGCTTCTATTTGGTCTATAG